TTTATATTTTAGGTGGGTTCTTTAGCGATTGCTCATACATACATACATACATCATGTTTGTTTGTGGGGTAGTATTTTATGTTCTGTTTTACTCCTTTTTCTCTTTCTTCATGAGTCTTGAGTTAAGTTAATAAAGCATAGGTAGGTGAGGTAAAAATTAATTTATTATATAGGTAGGCTAGGGCATAAGGTAATTTAGTTACATAGGTAGGTTAGGGACTCCTATTCTTTTACTCTACTTGGTGGTGTGATTTTTGTTTTGTGTTTTTTTTTTGTTTTGTTTCACATCATACATTCAGCAGGTACGCGGTGGTTCCTGGTTTTAGTGGGATTTTTATTGATTGAATGTGGTAGTATGCATGGTTATATAGAGTTATATAGAGTTATATAGAGTTATATAGAGTTATATAGAGTTATATAGAGTTATATAGAGTTATATAGAGTTATATAGAGTTATATAGATTTATATAGAGTTATATAGAGTTATATAGAGTTATATAGAGTTATATAGAGTTATATAGAGTTATATAGAGTTATATAGAGTTATATAGAGTTATATAGAGTTATATAGAGTTATATAGAGTTATATAGAGTTATATAGAGTTATATAGAGTTATATAGAGTTATATAGAGTTATATAGAGTTATATAGAGTTATATAGAGTTATATAGAGTTATATAGAGTTATATAGAGTTATATAGAGTTATATAGAGTTATATAGAGCATAAATCCTATATAGATACCGTTCTTTGCGGTTCTTTTCTTTGCCGACCGGTCGGCTTCTTTGCGTTTCTCTATTTTCATTTAAATTAATTAGATAAATAAGATTTGTCCATTCATCTAGTTTCATTCAGGTTCATTCATTCAGGTTATAGCTTCCAGAGGAGTTCGTCGTGGAGGATCAGAATGGTTGTGATGTCACCCTACGTTCAACCTTAACCCTAACTTCCGACTTTACGGTTTCTTTTTTTGCCAGTTTGCTGGCTTTTCCGGCTGGCGGATTTCACCGCGGCTCGTTTCTCTATTTTCATTTAAATTAATTAATTAAATAGGATTTTTTCATTTCATTCAGGTTGAAGCTTCCAGAGGAGTTCATCATGGAAGATGTCAGGCTACGTTCGTTCATTCAGTGGCAAAGAATACCTGCCTGACTGGGATACGTTTTCTTCTTTTTTTCTGTAATTTAACATTAAGTAGGAATGCTCACACGCACACACACGCATACACAATTACATTAAGTAGCTATATAGGTAGGTTAGATAGGCCTAATTTTAATTGTAGGTAGGATAGATAGGGAGCATCCAACACTAATGTAGTTGAATAGGTACGCAGCGTAAGTTTATCTCTTATATTTTATCTTGCACCCACATTACACGCACCAGCGTATTACACACACACACACAAATACATACATAAACACATATGTTAGTATTTGAGCGTAATTTTATTTTCATTACACATTCTAATTTATTATTACTAAGGTTGAGAGTAAATTAATTTCATAGGTAGTTAAGAGCAATAATGTAATTTTAGGAAAAATCTTGTAATGTAAATTAAAACGCTGTAAGTGTATCGATAGGTAGGTTAATTGTTAAGTTTTACATTATCATTATTAAGTTGGAGCCCAAGGCATTACGTAGGTGGTGGGGTGGGTGCCGAAAGGCCAATGAATTGGGCTCTTGAGTTTTGTAATTTTAGGTAAGCTAGGACCGTAATGTAATGAATAGGTAGGTTAAGGCTACGTTGTAACACATACTCATTAATAGATTTAGGGTTTAAGTTTTATATTATTATTACTAAGTTGGAGCCCAAGGCATTACGTAGGTGGTGGGGTGGGTGCCGAAAGGCCAATGAATTGGGCTCTTGAGTTTTGTAATTTTAGGTAAGCTAGGGCTTAATTTTAATGAATAGGTAAGTTGAGGGTACGATAGCCGATAGACTCTGAATTTCGAAGTCTCTTGTCAGAGGTAAGCCTTGGCGGCCAGTGGTGAACCGGCAATGGTTTACTATCCGGACGGCAATGGTTTACTATCTGCACGGTAATGATTTACTATGCGGCATGGCCATAGTCTACTACCCGCACGGCTTCCGGACGGCAAATGGTTTACTATCCGCAAGGCAGTAGTCTACTATCCGCACGGCAATGGTTTACTATCCGGTGCCCTGGCTGTCGGTAAACCTCTGTGCAAGGAGGGAGAATGAAGGGGAACTTTCGACTATCGTACCATTAACAATTTATTATAGATTAGTTAAGGTAATTGAATAGGTAGATAGGATTATTTTTATTAAGCAATTTAAGATGCAGGCACCGCTAAGCTTTCTAATGAGAATTTTCTCTCTCCATTCCACGGGCTGTGTTTCAACAACAATCTCGAGGAGGACTGGCACCAGTTTTGGAGGACAACGCAGGAAACGGAAGGCACTCATCATTTTGCCTTTGTCGAATGGACGACGGTAAGTTTTTTTTACATTTTACTCTCTTTATTATTTTCAAATATTATTTATTTGCCATTATTTCCATTTTACAATTTTTTGCTTCTAAGATTCTAACATTCATTTACTACTAAGCTAATAAAAATAACTTGTCTACAGACTGATGAGAGGTGGGCAGTGGTGGGCGTCAGCACGTTTCAGATGGTGGTCTCATGATGATCGTTCCGATAACAAATCGAAGAAAATAACGACGATTTTTGAAGTATGGTTTAGTTTCGTTGTTTTTATTTTTTTCATTCATTCATTTTGTCACACAATCTTTCATTCATCCATTAATTGACTCATTCTATTCATTCATTGAATCATAGATTGGTTAATTAATTCATTCAATCACTCAATCATTCGCTCAATCATTTATTCGGTTGTTCTTTCGTTTTAACATTCATTTACTACTAAGCCAATAAAAAAAATTTGTCTACAGAATGATCAGAGGTGGGTTGTGGTGGGAGTCAGCACGTTTCATGATGGTAATCTCATGGTAAGATAAGTTGCTTCTTACTTTTTTTCAATGGCTTGTTTTTTATTTTAAAAATTAACTTTTTCTTTCAATTTTGTTTTTCAGTATCCGGTAAAATTCATTTCCTCGGTGCGTGTCAGATGATGGTCGGTGCAATGGAGGTTCGTCCGTAGTGGGTGAAAAAGTTTCTGGAGGGTACGCGCCCGCACATTTACATACACGCACACACATAAATACAACACACACATACACAACATCCATTCATTCGGTGTCGTTGTTGTTATGTTTCTCTTCAACTTTCTATTTTCTTTACCGGACTTAATTTAATTCATAGGTAAGTTAGGGATTGAGATGAGTTGAACAACTGTAGGTAGGCTAGGGCTTAACATTAGTTAAAAAGTTTCAAGTAAAATATTAACATTAACATAAATTAAAAGCTTCAAGTAAAATTAAAACGTTAAAATATGTAAAATAAATGAGTTGAGTTATCATTACAGGTAAGCTAGGGCCCTGAGAGTAATTTAATTGTAGGTAGGTGACTGACTACTATTCTTGCGACTTTTTAATATTTTTTTTTTGTGGTGTGTTTGTTTTCGCTTCTTAGCACCACACAACACCAACAAAACTACAATTTTTTTTGTCGTCGCCCTAAATTTTACCATTTTTGAACAATCTTTTTAATAATGTCTATTTATTTATTTGTAAAATGTTGACTGGTTTCTAGTTTCTTATTTTGGTTATATAATTTTTGGATATTTCCTGATTTACTTTGTACATATGCATGCATGAATAATTTCTGTATGGTATGTTGATTTAGTCATTATGATATGCTGTGAACTGTTCTTACTAAATATTCATGATTCGTGATAATTATTTTTTATCGATCGATATTTTGTTATATTTTGTTTAAAATCTGAACTTTTTAAAAAATTGACATTTAACAAATTTTAATTTCGTCACTTTTCATCTTTTGATGATGTCAAATAAAAGCAACTGTTGTGTTTTTCTTTTTTACTAAAATCTCGAATACAAACATGTACACGTAAAGAGACACAGACACACATACATACAAACATACATACATACATACACGCATACATACATACTGCCATTATGAAGTAAAAATCATGGAATTATATAACTGAAAGCGCCCTACCAGCGTTTTAACATTGAAAATTTTTTTCAACGGCAAGTTACCTCTGGAAGCAAGTTTCTAAAAATTAATAATTTGTTTTAAAAGTGAAACTATCTTTTTAACAGATACGTTTAAAATTTTGTTACACATTTTGTAATGTATCATATTTTTATAACTTTATAGAGGTTTTGTGGTTTTTCTAGTAAAAATTGGTTTAAAATTTTTATTTTTAACTATTATTATAAGCTTTTATTATTTAGTTTAACTTTTAGTTGTACCGTGGGGGGAACTTATGAGTCTCTTTAAACTGTTGACTATAAATAAATATTGCTGGAAAAACCACTTTGCCGTCTCCGAGATTACCGTTTGATACATATAACTAGAATAATAATAATAAAATAATAATTTATTATTATTATTCTAACTTTTAAACATTAATAGAGTATTATATAAACCAGTGGAAATAAATGGACACAGCCAACACTAAACAATATAAACATAAAAACATATAAACAAAAACTAGTCATTTTTTTAATTAAATTATTTGATTTTATTATAGTGAGGATAATTTTTTTGTTTAATTAGTGAATTAGTAATTGTTGTGTGTTAGCCTAACACTGTTAGGAGTTTATCAGCTTATTAAAAAGTAAGTTAAGCATTTTAGATTAAAAGTTATGATGAAGATTAATTAATTTTAATATTATTATTAAACTGAAATTTTAAAGAAGTTGAACAAGCTGTCCAAATTTTGAACACACACTAACCGGAGCTGAATATTATATTCACGGCTTTTACTGCTAGTTAGTAAGGCTGTGATTAAAAATTTAATCATTTTTAGATATTTTTTAATAAAGAAGGATTCTCTCTAGAGAGTCTAGACAAGATCTACAAAATACAAATCAACAAAACACAGAAATGACAACAGTAAAACTAAAAGTTCTAACATTGAACTGCTGGTTTGTGCTGTTTTTTTCATTTAATAAATTAATCTTAATGACATATGGCACACACAAACAAATAAACACACATGCAAACAAACACACATAGGCCCTATTAAAAATGATATATGATTATTTATTATATTCATGTTATTTAATTTTATATTATTATTATTACAATATATTTTTATTAATAATACATTTTTATGAAAATTCATTAATAATAATGAAATTTTAGGCAAAATTCCACTTTTCTAACAATATTCTTACTAATATTTTATTTAGAAACCATTGTACACTATGGTAACGGTAATGTTAGACTTGTACATATGTGTTTAGTTTACATTGGATATATAATACGTAAAAAAAATGCAGCACATTACAAACATGCACATTTTTAAAGGCCTTTCAACATTCAAATGAAAAAAAAATCAACTTTTTAAAAAATTTTCTCTCAATTGTTTTCACTATCTCCTCAACAAACCAGGGGCGTTTTTGTACCGTTGGCATGTAAGGATAGATTAGAGAGAATGAAAGAGATAGGGAGAGAGTTGAGTGTGGGTAATTATGATATTGTATTTCTGCAAGAAGTTTGGCTCAAGTCTGACTATCAACTGTTGTGTCAGTACATTCTCCCTGCCATGCCATACACTCATTATTACTATAGGTTTGTCGGGGTTTTTGTAGGTTTTTTTATTATAATTATATTAAGTGTTTATTTTGTTTGCTTGTTTTTCTGTCTGCCTTTGTCTGTCTGTTTGTCTGTCTGCCTACCTATCTGTTTGTTTGTTCATTTAATTATTTTTTTATTCATTTATTCAAATGCTGATCTGTTTGATTTAATTTATTCATTCATTCATATGCTCAGTCATTTTCTTTTGTCCATTCATTTCATTCATTCATTCATTCATTCATTCATTCATTCATTCATTCATTCATTCATTCATTCATTCATTCATTCATCCATTCATCCATTCATTCATTCATTTATTTATATATATATATATTTATTTATTTGTAATAAAATCTGTTTGTTTTTTTTATTTTCCAACAGTGGAATTATTGGTAGTGGCTTGTGTCTGTTTAGCAAGTTTAAGATCATTGAAACTAGTCAATTCAGGTCATTGTCTAACATTTGTTATTTACGCTCTCGTAAAATTAATAATATTAACAATATTTGTATAATTTAATTATAGTTATATAATTATCATATAATTATCATATAATTTTTTATATAATTATTAATTCGTCCATATATTTACGTTTGTATAGATTCTCTCTGAATGGGTATGCCCATAGGCTGATGTGTGGTGACTGGATGGCTGACAAGTCGGTCGGCTTCGCGAAGATTCTTCTAGAGCCTGGCTCTATCAAGTTGAACGCCTACACTACACATGTCTGGTGCTTTCTGTATTTTCATTTTTATTTATTTATTCATTTATATATTTATTCATTTATTTATTTGCCACAAGTATGTAAATGTATATTTAAATGTATAAAACTTATAAACAAACTTAGAAACAATCGTCCAAACGCGTAAACAAAATATACCACAAACATACAAAATAATAACAATAGCAGTAATATTAATAATAATAATAATAATAATAATAATAATAATAATAATAATAATAATAATGACGTCATAGTTGCACGCCCAGTACTCAGAGGACAACACCTACCATGCCTATGAAGAGCATAGGTGCCTCCAGTCTTTTGAGCTGGCCAAGTTCCTCAGGGACACAAGCTGCAGCTGCGATTGCGTCGTCGTCGGTGGCGACTTCAACATCACCCCGAACCAAGTGATGATGACGATGATGTTGATGATAGTGATGATGATGATGTTGATGAAGGTGCTGATAATGATGATGATGATAGTGATGATGAGGGATATGACAATAGTGGTTATTGTAATGTTGATGGAGGTGTTGTTGTTGATGAAGATGAAGATGATGATGACGATGAGAAGGATGAGGATGAAGAAGTTGACATGGATTAGTTTAAAGATGAAATAGTTTGAAACTTTTTTTCTTCCTGCAAATGACAGGTTGGCTACGATCTGATAACATCAATTGGGAATGTTCAAGATTCCTGGCGAGTGCAGGTTCGTTCGTTTGTTTTGTTCGTTCGTTTGTTTTGTTCGTTCGTTTGTTTTGTTCGTTCGTTCGTTCGTTCGTTCGTTCGTTCTAACGATGATGATAATGACGATAATCTCAGTAATAACGATGACGGTTGCACATGATCAGAAAAATGAAGAGAAGGCAGCCAATGAGGAAGCAACCTGCTGTAGGCCGGACAACATCTACTGGAGCAAATCATCTGACCTGCCCGTCAGGATTGACTACATATTCCACAGGAATAACGCTGGTTAATAACTACTTTTCATTTGTACAGTGCTTAAATTTTCATTTACCCACAAGCATGTAGATTCGAAGCGTTTTCTGGGTGACTTTGTATGGAATTTAATTTGTAGTTACAGATTTTTTGTGAGGTCGTATAAGTGTTAAAGCCTTCTCTTTATCGCATTTTTGGATATGATCCAACATAACGTTATAATATGTGTGTGTGTGTGTGTGTGTGTGTGTGTGTGTGTGTGTGTGTGTGTGTGTGTGTGTGTGTGTGTGTGTGTGTTTTTTAACCAGGCTGCTAGTTTATTAGTAGTTACGGCTTATTTGTCGTTAACGGTCAACTTAATTTTTTGAAAGTATTTGATTGTGTAGAATAAAAATAGAAATTATTATCTTTACTCTGTTCTTTGGAAGGTTGTGAAATGGAGTGTGTGGATTGTGATCTAGCCATGGGAATGGTCCCGGGTCAAAAGTTCAACTTTTCAGACCACGATGGCGTCGTTGCTGAGTTCACTATCAAGAAAAACCTGACGGGTACATAAAATAATATGCATATCATTTTCCGTATGTTAATTTTCTGAAATAAAGTGGGTTTTTAATGGTTCAAATTTCAATTTGTCATCATCATCTGCACAATCATCCTCATCATTCATATAATCATTAGTCTATCTACATCATCGTCACCATCATTCACATTGTCATCCGTCATCATCATCAGTATCATCATCATCACTGACGACACACGCAGGCCACAGTTACTCAGCAGACCACAAGCAGACGATACCCCACTTGGAGAGAGCTATGAAGATCCTGGAAGACGGCTCGAAGAGACTGAAGACGATGCAGGTCCTATGGATGTCACTCAGTGTTGCACTGCTGCTGGCCTACTCCTACCATCTTACCTCTCAGTACAGTTGGCAACAAACACTGCAGCAGAACCACTGTGTTGGCTTGAATCATGCAGACCAACTTCACCACGGGGTAGAGCATGGAGTTAGATTGAAACTTCAAGAAGTGGAAGATCGATTAGGAGATAGCGAGCAAAAGGAAGAGATTCTTACGAGCTGTCTGGATGGTTTTAAATATCAGAAAATATATTTCGCCTTTGTTGAAATCGTCAAGATGTTGGTGACCGTGCTGATCGTATTTTCAGTCGTCCACAGCTGCTTGGTCCTGTCAAGAGAACGCATCACCATCAAATCCACAATCACCGATATGACGAATATGATCAATTTCTATAAGGACATCGCCGGATGATGATGGTGATTGAGATGATGATGATGGTTGAGAGATGATGATGGTGATGATGATGAGAATTTTTGAGGTGATTGTGACTGTGATTAGTTCACGGTGATAATGACGATGGTAGTGATAGAATAAAATAATTTTTGGTAAAATAATTTTTGAACTTGAGAATGGGCTCAAAATGCTTTCAAAGTAACGTTCAAATGATTTGAAAAAAATCGTCCTAGATGATTTTAATGCTTTAGTTAGGAAATTTTGTTGAGTTTTTCACTTGAATTTGTATTGATTTGTTTTAATTTGTTTATTATGCAAATTTGATTTATAATTTTAATTTTTAATCAAACGATTTGAATTCATACTCAAATGATTTAAATTAAAAATTGTCATTTATAAAACGGTTTGCTTGTTATTTTGGCTTTAGGTGTATATTTCCTTCGGTCTTGTGATGCATCAATTTATCTTTTTTTCCATTCATTATTTCATTTATTCCTCCCTTCAGTCATTGAACTATTCCTCTGTTTTTTTTTGTTCGAGGTTCTCATATAAGTTATTAACACTTCTGTATTGTCGTTTTGGTACTAACTCATTATTTTGATTTTTAAGTACTATGTTTCAAGGTAAGCTTGGCTACTAATTTTATATATGTAATGAATATGCTAATGTGGATGACAATTTTTCTGTCTGGCACATATTAAACGAGAATTGAACTTCAGATTTTATGTGTGTGATATGTTCTATTTATCTATCTTTATTGATAAAATTGTGTGCTATACAAGTTTGTGTATATGTGAGTGTGTGTGTGTGTGTGTGTGGTGTATGTGTGTTGCGTTGTAATAAATTTCCCAATATACGGCTACAGAGTGTAAAAGTGAGTGACTTGGGTAACTCCGTTAGCATTCCTTGGTCACCTTTGTTTCATGTTATATATATTTTTATTTAGCAAAAACTAGACCGTGGTTATAACTATTGTTAATATGTTAACAATGATTATCACAAGTTGCATCGTTATGGTAAATGTGGCCTATCTTCATTTGTGACTGAAAAATTATTTTGAAACTTTTAATATTTCTAGATTTTATCCTCTTTATTGATCTGATTATAAAATGAATCAGTTATGAGCTTATTAAATTTATCTACTAAAAGCAAAACAATGCAGTTGTGTGTTTTTATGATATGATACTATATTTAGAGCTTAAGAACTTTGTAAATTCAAAATTTTCAAACAAATAGTATTTTTCTGCTAGTACCTATAATGACAATTTTCCAGACTAATTGGGCAAAAAGTAAGTACAATATGTCGTGACAATGAAATAAGAAATTTTAGTTCTATTATGACAAAATTAAAATCAAATGACGAAATATTAATTACATTTATATTAATTATTATTTTGTCAAGTAATATCACCGCATTTTCAGCTCTGCGGTGATAATTCTTAACTGTATCTACGAGAGTCTCAACCTTAATTTTATAAATAATTATATATATACTTACACATTTATATATATATTTATATTTTGTGTGTGTGTGTGTGTGTGTGTGTGTGTGTGTGTGTGTGTGTGTGTGTGTGTGTGTGTGTGTGTGTGTGTGTGTGTGTGGATAAACAAACGCCTACCAATGTTTCAATGTTCTGTTTGTATTGTATTGTTCATCCATTATTTGACTGGCAATTCAAATCTGTTTAAATTAAGTAAGGGAAGCAATTAAATTGTCAATCGGTGTTGGAATTCGCACGCCTCAGTCATAGAAGCGTAATTTAACTAGTTTTGAAATAACTACCATTCATAAGAATTTCCAAAGAAATTTTTGTAGGATCTCGGCGAGAAATCATTTCATTTATTTCTTAGATTCTCGATTGCAAAAAATTTTGCTGATATACTGATTTTAATTATTAACATTTAAGTGAATATTTAATTCCTTCGACGAAATTTTTCTTCTTTTAAGATGATTTCGACTGAAATAGATCTAATTAATTTTAATTAAGTAGTCAGTTAATTAATTGATGACAAAACTTTATGACAAAAAGGAACAATCAACCACACTCTCTGCCTGAAACAAAACTTCAGAAATGATTAAAGTTGACCAAAAACCTGGCCCAAGTCCAGAGCCATTAAAAATATTTGATAAAAAATAATTTTTTCAAATTATTTTCAATAAAAAAATGTGAATCAAAACCAAAGAAGTGAAATAATAATGGTTTATTGTCAATAATAAAATAGTTAGAAAAAAAAAAATGTCAATCATTTTTTTTCATTTTTACATCGTATAAAAATTCGTTAAAATTATAGTAATAATAAAAGATTTTTATGGGTAATAAAATAAAACTATTGAAATTATGATGATAATAATTTCGGATAAATTGAAATGAAAATTTCAATTTATACGTTTATAATATTTGTTAGTAATATATATATATGTGTGTGTGTTTATGTGTGTGTGTTTATGTGTGTGTGTTTATGTGTGTGTGTAAATATATATTGCAGAAATATCTTTTCGTCAATTCAGTCATCTAGCATTAATATGATAGACAAATAGAAAATTATAATAACGTTTGTATATCAAAAATGAATTACTCAATTGATTAGTTAAACTGATTGATTGATCAATTATTCAGAATCAATCAGTCAATCAACCAATACCGATCAATTAAAACCAAACACTTTTTATATTATATAAACACACATTAACCTATCCTTTTCTAATCAATCAATCAATCAATCAATCAATCAATCAATCAATCAATCAATCAATCAATCAATCAATCTAAATATTTATTCATTTTTTTAGTTAAACACTCAATCAACTGATTGAGTGGTTAACACAAACCCTTTTAATATTTTCCTGAAAAAAGTCAAACAAACAGACAAACAAACAGACGATATCAAACGTAGCATGAAATATGTACAAAATGGGTACGCCATATACATATTATATATGTATATAATATATATATATAAGCAATTATTATATATATATATATATATATATATATATAAACATATATATATAAATATAATATGTTCTTATGTACACAAGCTCTTCCCACTAAAAAGACATAGAATAAGATGTAAGAAGAAATAAGACGAGAAACTTTTTTATATTTTTATATATATTTTCCTAATTTTTTTTCACGTTTTTCTGTTGTAAGTACGATAACAAAAAAAAATAAAAATAATATAATAATAATAGTAATTAAACATTTTTTTTTAATATTTTAATATTTTCGACAATTTTTAGTTAAAATATGAATAAAATTACGATTGAAATGTAGAGATGATGAAGGAAGAATTTGAAATATTTCATGTACCAACATACAACGTACGCAGGACAGCAATGGATGAACCGATAATTCGTTTTAAAAATTTTTTTTAATGACGTTTTTTTCCGTTTTTTAAAAATCAGAAAATAAAAATTAATTATAAATAATTAAACAATCGATCCATCAACCAATCGATCCATCAACCAATCGATCAATCAATCAATCAATCATTCAATCAATCAATCCATTAATTAAAATCCAAACCAAACTCTTCAAAACAACGCCACAAACAAAAACCAAGAAAGAATAATAAATAACAGTAAAAAAAAACCACATATGACACTTATCTTCACTACCCACAAAACTATTATTTCATATCTGTATAATGATATACATTTATAAACTATCAGTTATATACATACAGATATATAAACATATATATATATATCAATGCTGCTGTCCTTATGGTAATCAAAATGTCAACAATTAATTGATTAAATAATTCGCTAATTAATTAATTAATTGATAATAAATTGATGAAAAAAGAAAAACACAGGAAAATAAATATTGATACGTTAATAATGTTATTGATTGAGAGGCAGAATTAATTACTTCTGAAATGGAACTGAGAAACGATCTAGGTTATTATTATTATTGTTGTTAATATTGTTATTGTTGTTGTTATTAAAAGATTACTTTATTTATACATATCCTTTAGACTGGCGTTGGAATCTATTTGAGTGAGTGAGTGAGTGAGTGAGTGAGTGAGTGAGTGAGTGAGTGAGTGAGTGAGAAAAATACATCCTTTCAAGAATTAAAACATGAAAATCATAATAATAATAATAATTATTATTATTATTGTTGTTGTTGTTAATATTAATAATAATAATTATTATTATTATTATCCTTATTAGTTACAATTTATTTATAGTATTATTATTTCATAAGAAAAACACACCCATACATTACATTGGATTACTCTATGAGAAAAAAATTTAGGATTTGGGAAAAATTCAATCAATGGAAACAAACAAAAGCATCCAAATCATACCAGAAAACGAGAGAGAGAGAGAGAAAGAGAGAGAGAAAGAGAGAGAAAGACAGAGACAGAAAGACAAAAACTCACATTCAGACATACTGACCGTCAGACCATTGAAAATTGGTAAGTGAAATGAACATAAATATATCTTCTTTTATAGATTTCGTTCATTTTTTTTTAATTTTTTTTCCTCAATCAAATTTCATAATAAATCATAACAACGAGTAACAACATTACAAATAAATATTCATATTGTAATTGTTGCCATTACTATTATACGTAATCAGTTACAATACAATTAAAACAGCAATAACTATAATAATGAATAATTACAGTGTATTAATAATAATAATAATACACTTTAAAATAATCATTTTTAAAATTATTATTAATTACAAAATAATAATAATAATAATACCCTTTAAAATAATTATTTTTAAAATTATTATTAATTGAAATAATAATAATGATGATAATACACTTTAAAATAATTATTTTTAAAATTGTTAAAATGGTTAAAAGTGAGTGAAGAAACCTCAAAAATGCCTCACTTCATCATCAACTTCATTACCACCTAATTTTATTTTAAAACTCAATATGTACACAACTTATATTTGCGCGCGAAACAAGCTTATATATATATATATATATATATATATATATATATATATATATATATATATATATATATATATATATATACGTAGATATATATGGACAAAACATTAATTAATTCTAATCATCTAATCAAATTGCCAGCATGTAGAAGCACGCCATTGGCTGACCAAGAGACCAATGAAACAGATGAATTTCATATTTTCGCGCGCCTATACAGACACACACATACGTCTGCGTGTATAAAAAGGCTAACAACAACAATAACAACGATAATAATGATAATATAATAATAATAATAATAATAATCGTACGTGAAAAATTAAAATAAAATATATAACCAAAGACTGTACAGTTGCGAGTATAGAACAACATTCATCCATCTTCACCATCGTCGTCTTCACCAACATTACTTCAATCATCATCATGAACATTATAATGTTATCAATTCCTAGAATGTCGTTTGTTTGAATGAATGAGTGGATGGATGAATGAATGGATGGATGAATGAATGGATAAATGGATGAATGTTTTCAATTATTACCATCATTAATTAACATCATCAATAAAATGTCATTAAGATGGCTGATAACAACTTCTTATCTCTCTCTCTCTCTCTCTCTCTCTCTCTCTCTCTCTCTCTCCATAATGTTCTTCATCATCGTCATCGTCTTCATCCTCACATCCTCACTGCATCACATAGTTGCAGTTCTTCATCATATTAATCATCTTCATCATCGTCTTCCTCATCGTCGTCCTCGTCGTCATCATCGACTGAGTTTGACAATTTGAATGGGCTTCTTGTTGATAGGCACTGAGTGTGTCGTCTGCTGTAGGTGAGACTGTCCAGCGTGCATATTATGCCTGCTCTGTTGTTAAATTTTTTTAATTTAATTTTTATTTAATTCAATTTATTTATTCATCCATATATTTTTTTATATTATTATTATTGCGGCATTAGAAATCGCAGTAGTAAGATGAAATGACAACCAAATGTAATACCATAACACAAATTATACAGAATCATTGTATATTATAGAGAATGACAACAACTCACAACTAGTGAGTCGATGGCTCTGATATCCATGCTAGATAGATTGTTGTTGTTGTTGTCGTTGTTGAAGTGATTGTCTCCATGAGATGGTGTCGTTGCGGTGGATTTCACGATGGTGTCGTAACAATCGTTGGAATTCTCACAGCTACTCGTCGATCCGGCGTTCATCTTCTGCAGTAGGCCAACTCGAGCGTGCGTATCATCCCCACTTCCGTTGACACCACCAAGGAGGTCGTCGTCGTCGGCGTGGCTGCCGTAGCACACATTCCTACTACCGCTGCCGTCTGAGTTGCCATCTCCATTGGTGTTGTTAAAAAGTTGCGGCGTTTTACCAGCTGGTAGAGAGTCAGTACCCAATAGGAAGGAGTCCGACTTACTGGAAGTCATGCATCTCATTTTTTTAGATTCCGGCATGTACCTCTGCTCGTTTGCTACCTGCGGACTGATAATGGATGCGCTGAGGTTGTTGTTGTTGTTGTTGCTCGGTGGGAGTCGAGACTCGCTGGCGGAAATGTTGTGCTTCGGCGATGGGCGTGGCGTGGTTGATGTCGATTGGGATGAAGAATCTGATAAGTTCATTTCATCCTGTTTGAGAAGAAAATGAGAAGTTGTTGAACGCCATGTATCAAAATGAAGTTAAATGACTTCTCCAAAAAGCCACACATAATCAATCAATCAATCCTCGTTCTCCATCCATTATGGGTCGGACTCCACAAATAACACATTCATAATGCTATTCAAAAAATGTACACACTACTTGAACAAACAAATCAGATGTAGACACAAAAGCATTCGGGATACGTGCGTACATGATACAAAACACCAAAGAAAACATTGACATAGATACAATAGATAAACAAACATAAAAAACGTCAACCATAGAATGTCAACCAACCGTATGTTTTCTCTTGATTCCCCTACTTTCAGTGTGTAGAACATTGTCCGGCAAATAATTTATTAACTCCTTCCTGTGTAGAAAGATATACATACAGAGTACATACACCCAAGAATATAAAAACACAAATTAAATAAAACTAAAATAGCACAGATAAAACAAAAATACAATAAATATAATAAAATACCAGAGACGAAATACAACAGCAAAAGAAATACAAACTTTCTTAGGTACTTGACGTCCATGTTCATACCCTCCTTTAGCTTCGGCCCCACAGCCAATCTTACTGTTGAAAATAAAATTTTAATAGATTATTACAAAAAGAGGTAATTTAAATTTTGACATATCAACAATTAATACAATATGTGAAATTATTCTCCAAGTTTTTTTAATAAAAAATTACTGAACATTTAAACTGGAAAACCATCTAGCTAATTAGAAGCATATAAGATTCAAAGCAAGGTTTCATTATAAACAAACATGAGCCATAAATTTTTCTCAGTAATAAAAAGCACAAGAATTCAAATAAAAATCTCAGCAATTAGAACGAAAGGGATGACAAATTCATTGAAAACTGACTCTGGTCGTGGAAGTAGAGAGTCTCATAGGTCAGGTCGATTTTCACAGAGGCTTGGGAGAAGGTCAGCCCAATAAACCACTGCGTGCAGTGCTGCTCAGTGCTGTTTAATAGGAATAATTCCATCCTTTCAATATTACAAATTTAGATCATTAAATCTTCGATTTTAAAACTATATGATGCAATAAGTAACAGAAAGTAAAAAATACTTACGAATCACTCCTAGGCGGGTATGCCTTAGTGTTGATGTGTGCCAGCTTTATTACCGGATTGGCCTCCAGCTTCTGGACCATGAGACGCAGTTTCGACTCGATCAGACCGTACCATTCCAGGTGACTGGCTGCAGTGGAAGAGCTGGCCCTTACAACAATGAAATGTCTGTACTTGTGGAAGAAGTCATACGGCTTGAAGAGGTTCTCCCAATCGTCCTTCTTATTTAAAATCTCCGTAGATATCGCCAAACCCCTCTCAAATTCATCCATCATTATGGCTCTGGTCGACGCAGTAACGTTGTACGTGGAGTTCTGGTTCGGAAAACACGGGGTTATGATTGGCATTAGGTGGCAGCGGTCTGATGGATTTTTCTGGATAGAGAAAAAATAATATTTGGTTAAATTATAAAGTATACAGAAAAATTAATAATTTAATTTTAAGCAAAAATATTAAAAAATATTAAATAAAAATATTAAATATTAAAACGAAAAAAAGACTAACCCTCGGATCCCAAAAGCTAAACGTTCCAGTCATCTTACATACACTCAGCTGCTGCAGCAGAACTGGTTGTGGCCATTTCCACTTTGAGAATACAAAGAAAAACTTTTGCACGAGCACAGATGGTGTAGCATTTGGATAGAGCTGGCAGATGCGCGCTACCAACATTGCCCACGACACGCCACCCAAAAATCCGAGAACATTGGAATACACTCCTCTTCCTGTTTTTTTTTTGTTATTTTTGTTACCCAAAATCAAATAAATAAAAGTCGCTACCATTTGAATAAGTTATCTTAACAACAATGATAATGGATGTGATATCGTGTTATTTATAACATAAGCGATGATTAATATTGTGTGGAAAATTTGTAACAATTACACTGATAATGATTGATTTATCATGCATTAATCATTGGTTGTAGAGAGATAAGAACTGTTAAAAATTGGGTGATGGCATTCGGTGATATTGACATACTTTTGGCCCACAATTTGATCGCTCTTAAGGTCATTCGGAAACTTTCAATGTTCGAAACCAAGTGTAGAATTTCGTCGGTAACTCTGCAACCATTTAGACTCCTGACGCACTTCTGATCCAGATTCTTCAGTATGTTGTCATCTCTCAAGTCTTGCGTATCCTCGACCTCTGTTAACGCCAGTCGCGCAAACAACATATCGATCTGTCAGATTGAAATGTTTTATCGTAATTTAATAATTAATAAATTTAATATTTGTTATATCATATAATAGCTATTTCTAATACTAAATATATTTTAGCATAAAAAAAACTTCTTGCAAAAATTATTTACAATAATGATTATCATCTGTGTGATGATTAATTACTGATTAAGAGATAGATGCATCAATTATATATTATACCAAATTATATTATATTATTGCCAGAGATTCGTCACGTCTTCATCATCATCATCATCATTATCATCATCATGTCTTTATCATCATCATCATTATCATCACGTCTTCGTTATCATTATCATCATCATCATCACATCTTTGATTGATTGATTGATTGATTTCTTACATATAATTACTAAATATGAACCTTAATACCATTTCATTGCTTGGCTGTGAGGTGATATTAATCACTGCAGAGACACTAAGCAAAAAACATCTGGCATACAAAACCATGGAAAAGCAATATACCAAACACATCAGACGTAAATCACATTTACCAAACATATGTACAAAACATTTATCAAGCATACAAAACATTCACCAAACATACAAAACATTCATCAAACATACAAAACATTCACCAAACATGCAAATCAACCTCCAAACATACTAAACATTTACCAAACATACAAACCATCCTTCAAACATACAAACCATCCTTCAAGCATACAAAACATTTACCAAACATATAAAACATTCACCAAACATACAAGACGACATCCATAAAATATACTAAACAGTTCTTAACCTCAATACCATCAAATGTCATCTTAATGACAGGCACAAATGCATCCATAATGCTCCTCATGTCTTTGATTCCTGGCTCTCTTCTCAGAATATCCATAAACGAGCCAAAGAAGTCGTTTCTGTCGATATGACGTGGAACTACACACAGCGTGTCAATATCTGCTCCTAAATTTTAGATAAAAATCAAACAAGATGAATAATATTTGAATTTTACGAATTAGAATATTTATTAATTTATAATCTTTGAAAAAATCTTAATTTTTTCTAAATTTAAATTTTTTGAACACAAAAGTTTTAAAATGTTGGTGTATATTATTTACCTTTAGCATTAATTCCGAGTCTGTAAGATCCGAATGTATAAACCTTAGCTCCTATATTTGAGGTCTCGGGTATGTTCTAGATTTTTTATAAAGAAATAAATTAATATATCAATAAAAAATACATAGTAAAATATAAAAAAATGTTAATATAAAACCTGAAAAATAAAAAAAGAGATATAAAATACTTTAAAAAATTCAATAGCAGGTAGCTTCAAATAAATATATACATGAAACAACATATTAGAATAGATAGAGAACAGACAAATTAATTATTTAATACATTTATTTATTATATATTTAAAGTAATATTATTATTTAAAATATAAAACATTATAACGTATGATTCCAAGATCAAATCTAACCTTTGCAACAGCCATTTCTTTAACCCAAATATCTACAAGTTGAACCACTTTTCTAAGAACATCCATTCTAAAAGAAAATAAGTTTTAGGTTAATGATTGTAATTATTAATTTAACATTAATAAATACATTAGAAATACAGAAATATATTTGCATACTAACAATATGCTTAGTTCAAAAAATATATAAAATATATATATATATATAAAATTGATTAAACATTAATTGAAATTTGAAAATTTAATCAGAAAAATTAATAAGTTATTCAAACTCAATGTAATAGATGATAAGATAAAATGAATTAATACCTTTTGGTCATTTCTTCATGAGTCTCATACATATCATTATTATGCAGAACCATATCAAGCTGTTCAGTTAATTTTAACTCCTCTGGCCTTGGATAAGCCAAACTTATAGGACCAGTAAGTCCATACGTTTTAATTTTGTTAAGGTCAGACAATTGTGAATTATTGTTGGCATTTGTTGGAGAATTTCCATTTGATGGTGTCAAATCTGGCATGGATGGCGTTGATCTAAGAAAAAAAATTTATAAATTTATTAAAATAAGTTTTTCTCAAACTACTGAAAAAACTTTTATTTTATTCCATAAAAAGAAAACTAAATTAATTTAACTTAAAATTTGAAATAAATATAAAAAATGAAAACTTCAAGCCAGATCCATTCTTGGACTTCTCCTCATTCACTTGTACTGGTGAATGTTCATTGCCATTATATCCTCCCTGAGAGGTCGGCCTAAAATAGAAAAAAATATACATCATCGTCTTACTCGTTTAGCCATCAATTGATAATAAATTAAACAGCGTAACTGACGTATCCATTCCTACTCTACGGATCCTTAACTTTTATATTTCACTAACTACTAATCCGAAATTTTCGAAACGTCGTAACCATGAGAAAAACTTATAAAATTGGAAATCAGATAAAAAAATTGAACTAAGCCAAGAAATATAAAATTAAATAACCTCTCCATTATTCATGTAGCACTCCGATTTCGCCACTTTTTTAAATTAATAATAATAAAATTTCTCACTATAATAAACAAAACCGAACCAAAGATCTTCTAATATGGCGTTTACGGAAGTTTACATAGAAAAACTGAACCAGCACTTGTAAAAATTACACTAAAATCTCGCTATATAGTCATACATGTACTGACACATTTATAACCACATTCAATAAAAAATCGTTCAAATTAAACATTAAATAAATGTTGCCCAGGTCAGTTTGTATTATATGAATGTATTGATAATTTTCATGTCGTCTTCTGGTTCTCGCTGCTTCTTAACTCGTGTTAAACTTTTGCTTTTTCTGGCCCTTTTCTCTGGAACTCTCTCTACTACTCTGACTATTTCTCAATCTCTTAAGAAGTTCATCGCGGAAATAGTGCTTTACAAGCTAATTGAATGACTGATTTGTTGATTGATTTATATATTAATGAAATATTAATAATGTATGGATAAGTTAAACACATTATTAACGAAGACCGACTATTTCATTACCGAGATAATTACTTAATAAATGAGAAAAAATGAAATAAACTTACATTTTAATTAGCTAGTTGTTCGATGATCTCAAGTTTTGTATAACTTCAATTTGATAATTCAACTTCATTAAATAACTAATAAACCGTGGTGTAATCCAATTAAGGCAAAAATGTGTTTCATATAACCATGGTTTCATTAGAAGATAAGTGATGTCTGTTGATGGTTAATGCCGACGCTTCACACATATATAGACTCCATTTATATAGAGTATATATGTTATATTCTATATATATCCCTTTTAAAAAGTACGCTAATGCATGTAAATTCATCTCTTATTTCATTACCTAGCATCATGGATATAGCTTTCAGTAACTTTTGCAATTCTCTTTTTTAATTTTATTTCTTTGTGTTCAGTTATCTTTGACAAATGAGTCCTCTGATTGACTCGAACCATTGATTTTAAAATCCTAAATTCTAATTTTCTTTAACCTTCAAATACTACTTTCATTCGTTTTGATGTCATTCTTGTGTTCTTCTGCAACGGCCTAGGCCGTTCCTCAGTTAAACTTCAAATTTTTTAATCATAAGAGGTCTGAGAGGGAGCTTTCCTGTCGATCCTTCGATCCTGGGGTACACGAGTAGAGAGAATTTAGTTAGATTTAATTAAATGAAAATTCTTGGCTCGTTTCATCATTTCAAAGAAAAATCATGAACGTTATCTTTCATTGTAACAAATTTTTATTAAAAATCGTAGCCATCTATATAAAATAAATAAATAAATAATGAATAAGAAAAGCACTTAAATAACTTTGTTTTTGATATTTACGCTCTCACAATCTAAAACATTTTTTCCGTTAGAATAATTAAAATTCCGTGTGAAGTATCGTTCGTGAGCGTCCCAGCAATGCTCGTAGACAACCTTCTGCTTGGCAACCTTCAGCGTGTTCTTCATTAACATTGCCACCGTCATTGGACCCACGCCTCCTGGAACTGGAGTTATTTTTCCTGCTTTTCTGCACACTTCTGAAGAAATTTTACGAAAATAAATTTAGATACTAAATGAACAAAACAAACTGAATAATTAAAAGACGATAATTAACTAAATTAGCCATTAAAATTAGCAAAATAAGCAGATATATGCTTGAAATCTAAATGAAAAAAAAAACCAACAAACCGTCAAAATCAACGTCGCCCACAAGCCTCGATTTGCCTGAGTTGGGGTCGTAAATTTTGTTGACGCCCACGTCAATAACGGCAGCTCCCTCCTTAACCATGTCGGCTCTGATGAGGTTTGGTCTGCCGGTTGCAACGATCAATATGTCTGCCTGCTTTGCCAGATGTTCCAGCTGGTCGGCAGGTGTGTGCCGGTGACAAATCGTCGTCGTTGCATTTTCTTGGGAAAGATGTGTGAGTGTTTAGGTTCAAAAGCTTTAAGGTACGAATAACATGAATCAGTACGATAATTAAAGTAGATAGCTTTTTAAAAAGTTATCGATTTTAAGGATAAAACTGGAAAATTGAATCGTACCTCAATGGCGTATACACAAAAATACTAACTATTGCTTTTCAAATTTTTCAACAAAAATAATTTAGACTTATTTTATCAGTATTTAATTAAAAGTTGTTCAATGCAAATGCCAACGATCGTTGATTCTGTTAACGGTTATGAAAATTTTATAAATTAATTTAAGAAAAATGACCTCAACTTATAAGCAAACTGATTAGTTTATCAATAAAGAATTGATTTAAAAAACTTCTGGATGAAATAAAATTTTGTCTGATAATCAAATAAAAAATTCCTTTCTCGTGTCGAACAATCATAATGATTACATTACTGCATTACTTTTATGTATCAAATTAACTGAGAGTAATTTTTTACTGAATAAAAAGTTTGAGGTGATTAAGAAAAGGAGGAATACTGCTACCAGAAGAATGCAGCATCATGGCTATAGGCATGCCCACGTTTTTGGACCTCCCACAGACAACTGCATGCTTGCCAAACGTCTCGATGCCTGTTTGAAAATTCAGTATTTGAATATTAATGAATTTTGTTAATTTATAAAAAAAAATCAACTTGTAACTGTTAAAGTATGTATGATATAAATGACTGATATAAAGTCAAAAATATTTGGCAAACATGAGGTTAGAATAAAATGAAAAAAAATGTATTACCCTAACATTAATTTTAATTAATTAGTTAATCAATTAATTTTAATTAATTAGTTAATTTTACATTAACTAAATGAACGATGAATGTTTTGATCTGAAAATTTTAAAAATTTCATACAAGACAACCTAACTAAAACTACTTTAAATTTTATCAAAAATTTTTTCCAAATGAAGGAAAAGTTGATTAAATGTGCGACCTGATCTTCTGATTAGCTCAATAACTCCAGCTGGTGTGGCAGGTACCAGTGAATCTTCGTTTACGCAAAACCTAAAAAATAAAATAAAATCCCTTTTAAAAAAGAAATAAAAACACAAAAGACTATGAAGAAAAAATATTCTTAAAAATCTGTTTTGAAATTCTAAATGAAATCAAAAATTTTAAAAACTTGTAAATCAGATAAAAGAATTAACAAAATTTGGCAATGTAAAATCCGATATAGCAAAAATTAATTATAAAACAAATTTTAAATAAAGTCTATGAATCAAAAATTCAAACAATTTGAAAGATTTCAAACAAATTCACAAAAAAAAACGAAAAAATTTAAATTAACTCACAAAGAAATTTAAATTAAATTAATTATTCAACTGAATTTAGTTAGCAAACATCAAACCTGCCAACGTTGACAACGTGGAATCCATCAACATCTTTCTCTGGGGCCACCATATTGCAGATCCTCCTCTCATTTATGTGTCGGGGTAGAGGCAACTGAACCAGTATCCCATTTATGCTCGGATCACTGTTCAGTTTTGAGATTTCACTACAAAGGACTGCTTCTTCGACTGATTCGTGGAAAGAAATTGTCTTGCTGTTGATACCTTGAAAGAATTTAATTATTTTCACTTGTTTTATTTGTGTTTCATTTATATAACATTAATTTATTTAATTTTATTTGTTCCATTAATCATTAAATAAACTTTTTTTGTGAAATTCTTATTTGAGCATTTTAGATTAATAAAAGTCAAACAGGAATGTGCATGTGCATATTATTGAGATGTGATGTAATTTTTCAAAACATCAACAAAACAGCATCAGCAAACTTAAAAACTGAAGACAACTTCAAAAACTTCTGCCACGAATTACCAGATTTTTAATTGAAAAATTTCTTTAAAAAAACTTTGTATCATACACATTTATTAACATTAAGACTAAGTAAAGTTTAAAAAATAAATTTAAAGAAAAAAATGTTGGGGTACCAGTCACGTGGGCAGCCCTCATCTTATGTTTTACATAAGTCTTGCTGGCAGGGTCATCCCCGACAAGTATAGCTGTCAACTGTGGAATGCTATTACCTTTACTCACCCATTCAGTCAGTTCCAACTTCACTTCTGATAAAACTTCCTCTGCCATTTTCCGACCGTCGATAACTTCTGCTCGTGAGCTAAGTTAAATGATATGTATTAAAATTCATTTATAATAAATACATTCAAGAATGGATGAAGAGTATTTTGAAAGGAGCCAAAAGTGAAAAAGTTGACAGCTCTTAAATTCAATTTGCCACTAAATACAACTATATAGTAATATACAGTAATATACCATATTCTGTATGTATGTGTGTGTATGTATTTCTATGTTATACAATAATGTTATAATATTATATAATATTATAATATATATTTATTATGTTGTTTCAAATGAGTGAAATCCTAACCATGTTTTTGTTGTTGACAATCCTTTCGTTATCATGTTGAGGCCATGATTTCGTGGAAGAAGAAACAAGTTTTTTAGATGTCGCAGGTTCATTTTTTAATTAGTAACAAGTTATGATAAGTGTTATTTTTATTTTATACTTATAATAAGGATATAATTTATCCTTTTAAATTCATTAAAAGGTGGTTATAGGACAGGTCTTCAGGATAACTGGTTAAGCAAGCAGATTCTAGAAATATTAATAATATGATATTAAATAATTTTAATATAACTTCTTATAATTTATTTAATTTTTAATATTAAAATATTAAATTAACTTATTTAATTAAAATAACTTTCAAGTTTAATTACTTTAAAGTTTAAACTCTAAAGTTTAATTTAATAATTATTAAAGTTTAAGAAGTTTAATTAAAAAATTAAAATTTTAATTAAGTGTCTGTATGTACTAACTAATTACTAAAGAGTAAAGAGTCTTTAGTTTAGTTAGTTAGTACATAGTAAAAAGTAAAGACTTTAGTAAACTAAAATCTAAAACTAAATTGTAAGAGAATGTATTTTGGGTTTTAAAATTATATTTTCGTAACAATTAAAATACATTATAAAAGATGGAATTTACATTTACAATAGCCAAAATGTCCTCTCACACGATGACAATCACATGCTTCTCACAAAGACCCAGATGACCCAACGACTGCGATTCCGATCACACAGTCGCTTGAAATTCAACTCATTATCGCAGTTTGACACTTGTTTGTAAACAAGCATTAACAGAAAATAAAATTTTTTAAATGGAAAAGATGCTCGTGAGAAAAACGTATTTCCATGCTTTGTCTGCTCTTAGCATGGATCTATATAATATAGATATAGCAGTGCGTTATCTATATATATATTTATTTATATATATATATATATATATATATATCCCAATGAATAGTGACCTCTACATGAAAACACATGCAATCCTATCTAGTAGACCTACTACATTGCGAAGTTGTCAATAAGGTGATCCTGATTACATGAAAAATGATGAGACTTGGTTGGTATAATGGTTTGTTCCTCTGGCAGGTTTTCCCCTATATCCAAACTAGAGCACACGAGTAGATCTAGACAAGTTTGATCGGGGGAGCCGAAGTTTGGCGGGGTACCAAAAACTGGAAATACTTGACGACTTTTTCAGCTCATCACACAACTTTTTTGTCAATTTTTCTATATTAAACGGTATTTTCTTATTTAAGAAACTGTTTAAATACTCTACTACCTATTATTTAATAATTGGGTTTCCAGATAATTGACCAACAAATCTTTTAGCTTATAGTTTTTATCGCCTGCGTTTTGTTTTAAATTGTTGCAAGTTTTGGACATATTTTAGCGTTCAGTACCTATAGTCTCTTCAATCACCTCGTAAGACGAATTAAAGAATATTCCTAGTTACAGCGGTAGGTGAATAGTTTATACAGAGCATATAGGACTTGGCATCAAAATAATTTTCATTTTTTACGTGTTTTATATTTTTTTCAAACAATTGTTAACGTATCTAATGCTGTTGCAATTTGCCAGGTGCTAATTTTATTGGATTTTGTTCATATGTCATAAAATAAATAAAATTTAAATTTGCTTAATAAAGTTTTATAAACTTCCCAAAATAAACGTTCGAATTAATTTTATAAGACAAAATAAGTTTTGACAACGCTTTTATAAAAGTTATAAAAATACTTTTTTGAACATAAGAAATAGAACGCGTTTAAAAATTAAAATAACAACATCCCACAAAAATGCACCGAACGATAGAGTTCAGTGCTATTCGATGTTATCCAGATGTGTCTAGATCCGTGTTAAAAATAGGATTGGTAAAGCAAAACCGCATCTACTTTAAAGGAATCACCATTTTGGAATGTTGAGCATCAGTGTTGATACGGACTGTACTTGAAGAATGTCATTATTTTGAAGAATGTCATTATTTTTCGTATACCATCCAATTTTCTAGTCTCCTTCTTTTTGAAAATGTTACTCTTTGATTGCAGATAATTGTCTGCTACAACAACACGTTAAAATGTGGCATGCCGTATGAACAAGATTCTTTGTTAAAGATCAATTAGTAGAATCAAAGCCGCTTCTACTTTGAAGGAATCACCATTTTGGAATGTTGGATATCAGTGTTGATATGGACTGTACATGGAAAAATCTTTTGAAGAATGTCATTATTTTTCGTATACTATCCAATTTTCCAGTCTGCTTCCTTTTGATAATGTTACCCTTTGATTGCAGATAATTTTCAAGTATGTATTTCACCAATTCATACCTCGATATATACTCAACTTAAATTTTCGTTGCTTTAGCAAAGAAAACCAACCTAGATCGACAAAGTCGCATGTCTCTTCAGTTAGAAAAACATCGTCGTCCATGGCTCTACTCAGTGACAATCCAACGATCCATTGTTTGGAAAGTTCATCTGCCCTGTTATTATGAAACGTATTATTTGTTGTTAGATACTCCTCAAGACTTATATGAGCCCGCTTAATTTCAGGATTGGTTTCCAACTTTTGAACCAAGATTCTAAGTTTAGATTCAACGAGTCCAGACCATTCCAAATGACAGGCTGCATTTGCTGAATCAACCCTCACCGAGATAAAATGATTGTAGTGATTGAAAAAGTCAACCGGCTTAAAAAGAAACTCCCATGAATGTTTCTTCTTCATGACGTTGGAGAAATTTTCAGACCCCTACTAAGTTCTTTCACTATGAGTGCCTTAGTTGAACTGCTGACGTTGTGTGCTGAGTTCTGGTTGGGGTAACATGGTGTGATGATCGGCATCAAATCGTCCGGAGTATCCCAGCAACCAAAACCTCCGGACTTCTTACTCTTACTCAGATGTTTCAGCAGAACTGGTTGAGGCCACTTCCATTGTGAGAATAAGACGAAGAACTTGTGGACGAGGACTGATGGAGTTGCATTTGGATAGATCTGACAGATGTGGGCCACCAATGTCGCCCACGACACTTCACCCATGAAGCCGAGGACATTCGAGTAGATGCCTCTTCCTGTGCAAATGAGGAGAAATTTATTATTTATCATTGACAATGCAAAGGTTTTCGATGATTTTTATAAAAAAAATACTGAAAATCTTAGCGAAAATAATAATGAAATGATAATTAATGTTGAAACATTCAAGAATAACTTACTTTTGGCCCAAAGTTTGATGGCTCGTAAGGTCGTTTTGAAGTTTTGGACGTGTGGGACGAGGTTCAAAATCTCAATCGTGTTTCGATAACCTGTTGAATAAAAAACAAATTATTAGATTCATGAACATTTCACATTTGTAACAATTCTTTCGAACCATTCATCTTTTTAGCGCACACAAAAACTCACAAAAAATTCAACTCTTCCATTCATTATCACACAGAATCATCAAAACAAATAAGACAAACCGTTGATGCTCCTGAAAAATTTCTGATCCAAACCCTCCAACATGTCGTCGTCCATCAGATCCAGGGTATCTTCCAATTCTTTCACCGGCAGCCTGGCAAACAGCACATCAACATCAACGCCATCGAGTGTCATCCTGATTGCAGGCACGAAGGCGTAGAGAATGTTTTGCACGTTTGTCACCCCTGGCTCTCTCCTCAACATTTTCGTGAACGATGCGAAGAAATCCATTTTGTCGATTTGCTCTGGTGCCACTACCAACATGTCTATGTCGGCCCCTTTAGCGTAAATGCCAATGTACGACCCAAAAGGGTAAACTTTCGCTCGAAGATTCGATCTTTGGGGTATCTTCTTTTCGGACCCAAACGTCGACGAGATTGTTGATTCTCTTCATTACTTCAGTTCTGTTGGAATGAAAAAATTTGTTAGAAAAACAACATTATAAGTAGGGAAATGTTTAACCGTTAATAAAATATTTAAATTCAATAAAAGGTGAAATTTTAGCAAAAAACGTAACGTTACATACCTTCTAGCAATGTCCTCATCAGTTTTATCTTTAATTTTTAGTTACAAACTGAAGAAACAATTTAAAAACCTCACTAAATTTTTACTTTTGGACGAATTTTTTCTTTTATGATTCTATTATTTTAATTTATTTATTTCATCATATCATTTGGTCACGTTGTTAAAATGATTTAAAATTATTTAAAAAGATTTAAAATTTTTGTAAATAAAATTAAGAAACAAAAACAAATCTTTAACTTTTTATTCTAAAGTTTTTAAATTTCAAAGTTACAAACGTTTACAAATGCCCGGCAGACAAGTCCTTTAGAACGGTGTCCAACTCTAAATGACTGAGATATATGGCTATTCAAAGACTTAGTGTGATTGGTATTGAATGTATGTAGTTTTTTTTTCTTGTCATTAATTCAGACGGAACAGCTTAATTGATGTTATGTCTCGTTTAAACTCTGTAGACTTTCTAAGAAATAAACAGTTTAATTTTGTGGGTTGGGATGAATGTTTTTTTTTCGAAGTATTAAAAACCGAATTGCCAGTAGAACAATATTTGTAAAAATGATTAGTAATAACTGATTAAGTTAATTTCATTAAAATGCGTCATTTTAACAAAAACACTAAACCGATATGTTACATTATTTTTATTTGTTTAAAAAAATTTCATTAATAAACATTAATATTGTAAGTTTAATGTTTTATATTTTAAAAAATTCATTTTAAAAAATTTAAAAAAAATGACTCCGGAACGATAATAATCAGACATGGTTTTAGGTTATTATTATAAATAGTTCTTGTTAAAACTTCAGTATGCCGTTGGTCTCAACTGTTTGAGGAAATACCCATCATTTTTGTTGTAATCATCACCAGTTCCTTCGTACTCACTGAAATCATTCCTGCCACCTCTCTTGACGAACTTGTAGAGGTGAAAATTGTTGACCTGGAGGTTGCAGCCATCAGAGGAGCAGTATTCGTAGCAGGTGGCATCTCTACCGTCGCTGGTCACTATGCAGATATCCATCGTGTCGTTGGAACAGCCACGAGATATGTCCGTTACTCTTTCTAGAGAGAATATATTACCAAAAAAAATTAAATTATAATTAAATTACAAATTAAATTACAAATTAAACATAAAAAAATAAGAAAATTAAGTATGAAAATATACTTTAAATAATTTAATTGGGATTGATTTTTTAATTATTATGTTGTAGAGGCAGAAGGAAATTATCTATTGAGTGTTATTTTTATGGTTTTGGTTACAAATTTTTATGGCAGTTTTGTACCGATCAAAAAGTAAAGAATCAAACCCAAAAGACATGATTTTATATGAGTATTATATGATTTTATGAAAGGATGAATAAAAAACTCAAACAGTTTCTAATTGTTATTCACGGCATAGTATCACATTATTTGTTCTAAAACACTCGCTAATTATGTTATACTTCAACACATTTTACTGCAAATAAAGAAAAAATTTTAGTATAAACATTTATAGTCTCTATGAATTCTAACTAGAAAGCTAAAGGTCAAAGGTCTCTTCCAAAGTTCAGACGAATTGACAACACACAAACAGCATATACGAATGCGTGCAGAATGGCGCATCACACACAATGCAGGTGATAAGCGGGGATGTTTTTGTCGTATTCGAAACCGGCTACTACGTAACAGGTTCAGGCGACCTTAACCGCTAGACCATCAAGCCGCTCAAAAGGTAAATATTAATGATTTCGCTCTTGAGGAAATGTCAATAATTTTACAAAAAACTGAAAATATTTTGTCTAGAATGTGACGACATTTTAAAATTTGAAAAAACTAATTACAGGTTGACAATTTTTTACACGCAACAAGACGAACAAAAACGTGAAACTTTTTTAAGATTGTTATTGTTATTGGCATCATTTGATTGTTTAAGAGGAAATACTTTAATTTCTCCAGGGCATGCTCCTTCACAGATTGAAAAATAACAGATGTACACGCTCAGTGAATAAATACATTTCTGTACTTACTGTTGGATGTGTGTGTGTGTGTGTTTGTGTTTGTTTGTGTGTTTGTTTATTTAATTTTAAATATATCCCATCACGGCTAAATTCCGGATGCTTTACTGAACCTGAACAACAGTTCTCTTAAGTTTGTTTAATTGTTAAAAACGTGAGTTTAGTTTCAAAATATCCAATCAACCAAATATGAAAAACCAGCTTTGCCGCTGAGTTTGGTTGAAAATTCGGAATTTATAATTTAATTTAATTTAATTTCATTATTATTATTGTTGCTTTGGCAGGAAAAATCGTTTAAACTAGTCTCGCATGGTAAATAAATAATATTCAATAAATTGTTTTTGAAACGTTTACTCTGACATCGGCACAATAATTTAAACCACGCCTAGCAGTACACATCAAGCAATAAATACTTCAGAGTGAATTAAAAAATTTTTAAAACTAATATTTTTCAAAGAGTTATTTTATTTATTAACTAAATTTAAATAAATTTTTTTGTTCATAAATCAAAATGTATTGAAAGTAACATTGTGGTTGCTTCTGCTGCAGTGACTAACGAGAGAATTTATTGCAATTTTTATGTACGTGTTAGTAGAACAGATGGGAGAATTTATTGCGATGTTTCTAAAATTAAACGAGAAGATGGTTCATATTCTAAGCAAATTCTTGCTAGTTTAAATTATTTTATGAAAATAATAAACACAGTAAGTATATTTAAAGTCTTCTAAAAGATGAGATATAAATTATAGTTACTTTGGGCAGCTAGCCAAACTCTCATTAGCTTCAGCAAATTTTATTTCAGCTTAAAATTTGAACATTTTGCATTTGGCAGCATGTCGAGCCAAAAATGAAATGCTATCGTATATCTCGTTGTTCAGTTGGCTGGTAGTTTTTTTCTAATTTTTTTTTGTTAATTTTACTACTGTAAAAGAAGGCAAACAGGTTTTAAAAACACACGCACACGCGCACAGGTTACGTTTTCAAACACATTCACACATCCAGCCCCATACCTACATGTAGATACTTGAATAGAAACCTCTAAAATATTACTTTAAATTTGAATGAGAGTCACGTACAATATCTGAAGAGTACACTCTGTATAGGGAGTAAAAAATTTTAATAACTTTTTCACCGAATTCGTCGCGTGCAACGAGAAAGGCATGAAAATCAAACGCATCAACCTTTCTCAGTCATCCTTACGCCTACCTAATGTCGATAGGCATGACAATGTTTGCCTTAGTTCATATACAAAACTACGTATACATAGACACACATGTACACTCACACACACGCACGTGCGTAAGCGTTTTCTTTGCGTATTGTGCATGCTAAGCGCGTCTTTATTTATGTTTTTTGCAGTTATGATATACGTTGAACTGCTTATAAACCGTTACAAGCTATAAATAGAAGTTGTTGTACAAGGTTACAATCTTTAGCTCGAATGTTATTCATCCAATTAACGCGATACATGCAAATTTTTTCGAATGAACGGCGCATGATGGTGTAGTGGTGGACGTGTCTGCCGCTCGGTTCCGGTGTTCGTGTTCGAATGCAAAGAGATGCCCGCCTCTCATTTGCAAAACTGTGTAGCGCCTTCGTTCAAGTGTTTGTTTTGTAAGTTCGTTTGTTGTTGATACACCTGAAAAAAACTAAAATGATATTTAATTCAATGATTAAATAAAATACTTATAAAGTTGTAGCATTTTATTTTTAGTTGTGTAACAATGTAGAGTTGAAGCCGGGCAATGCTCATTCATGTCTATCATTCTGTTATGTGTATTTTAAAATATGAAAACTAAGCACGACATAGTTTTGGAGCAATTGTTGGCGCATAAAACGAAGAGTTTCGAGCGATGAAAATGAAAGATGGCGATGGGTCGGCACTGCTATTAATAAAAGTTCACCTCCTAAGTTCCTACCTCAAACATTTCGTCGAGAAGCTTCCTCTGGGTTAGAGTTGAAATAAGACTGTATATAATTTTGAAAAATATTTTTAAGAACGTAACTCATAAGTAGCAAAGTCATTTTAATTTAAAGGTAAAATAATTATTTGAAATAATCTATTAATAAAAACAAATAAGTTAATATACCAGTTAGTTGTTGTGTGATTCTTACAAATATTTTTCAATAATTTAACTAAAATTTAAAAATTTATGAACAGGAGGGCATGTTTGTTTAAATGGAAAAAGAAAAAATTTGCACAATTGTTTGAATGTCATGGAACAAAACCAAGAATGCATTGAAACCATGAATGATGTATCGGTGAGTATGTGTGCGATTGCTTGTGTATATGTGTGTGTGATGTGTGTGTATGTGTTTGTTTGTGTGTGTATTAGCGTTCGTGTTTGCGCGTCAATATTTTCATGTACATATTATATGATTTATCCTCTACCAGCTGATCTCTAACCTTAGGGGTTAAGTCGTAAACATTTTTATTAATTGGCCTAAAAATTGAATAAAAATTTCCATTTTAAAATTAAAAATAGATATTTTGTTTTAGTTATTATATATTTTCAATAATTTTTTGTACTTTAATAGTTAAAAATTACCAGAACAAAGCAGATGCTTACATAGTCAAAAAAAGAACTATCTACTAAGAGATTATTAATTGCATCAGAAAACATAAACTCAAGGTATGATCGGAGCTTACGATCAGAATGTAGTCATGTTAAAACGTTTAAACAGCTTTTAAAGTTCCATCGATTTCATCCTATCAACTTAGTAAAAGATGTAAACTTTAACTGAAAAAACAATTTTGACGCCTTCAAAATAACAAGTCATCTGAAAGATTCTGAAAACTGGTTGTGGTTTTTTTGACGTTCAGAAGAATCAACAAAATGAAGATCGTGCGTGAATACGTGCTAAAAGGCGCATCACACACACGAAACATGTGATAGTCTGGGATCTTTGCGTCATACTCGAACCCGGTCACAGCACGCACCATGAAACAGTACCAAGCAGCCTTAACCACTAGGCCATCAGGTTACCGTGTTTTTTAATATGTTATTCATTGAAAACTTTTTCAAAATTTTCTTCTTTTAAAACTAATATTTGTTTCTGTCAACGTAAATTGAAATTTCATGAAAATCCCATTTTAATTTTGCAGAACACTCCGTCAAATAAATTCAATTTTCCACTGCACCTTGAAAAATATTCAAAATTTTAAAAAAATAACTAAAAAATAACATCTGAATAACTGGAAATAAAATTTTTCCGTTTTGCTGAAATTTGAATTTTTGTCCTGGCAACCTGGCAAAGTTACAACATGATTAAATTCCACTCGAAAGTTCCACATCCTACTGGATGTTATTTTGTTTTTTAAATTTTTTCTATCGGTGCGGTGGTGCAATAGTTAAGGTGTTTGTCACAGATGTTCCAGTGACTAGGTTCAAGTGCAAAAAGATTTTCAGAAATCCAATGCAACGCGTGTGACGCATATATACATACACGCATTACTTGCGTTGTGTGTTTGTGGTTGATATCTCTGAAAATACATAAAGAGAGAATCGCGTAACAATGTTTTAGCAAAACTTTTGATGATTTTACATTTGCTAGTACTAAATAGAATACTAAATAGTCATTTTCTTAACAGCACACCTAAATTCACCATATTAACCGTTTCTGAATATTCAACACGTCTCAAATACCCATGAAAAAACATATTTTTGCAAATTAAATTTGTCATTGATGGATCATTTAGCTTCAAGCTGTATTCAAACCTGGTCACAGCGTTTTTCATCACCCGTAATGCTACAATTATAGACAACGTAGCGAGTAGAAAGCCGTCAAGTTTAATTAAATTTCGTGTAGGTAGGTAGAGCAGTTTGAAGATCTTTTCGGCAGCCAAAGGAATGCATTTGAAACCCGAGTAATATAAATTACGCTTACAAAGTTCTCAAGTTCTTTTTTGAAATTATTTCATTGCAAGTTATAGGGCTACACTTATCACAATTTTTTAAACTGTTTCTATTTTTTCACTTTTAATTAAATAGTTGGCACTTTTTTAACATTCGTTTTGTGATAAAAA